AGTTCCTGTAGCGTATTCGTCGCCGCTGGCTCCTTATGCAAGGATAGCGGCTCCCTTGAATTATGCCGTTGTTTAGCTTGAAGACGACTGACTGAGTTGAATAATGTTTGTAAATAGAAAATTTTATGTATATATGTATCTTCATTCTTTTACTGTTAATATGAATAATAAAATAGTACACAGAAATAAATATTTGTTTTCTTCGATTGATACTTACTACTACCTAACCCTACATAGATTTATTGTTATTAGAACTACTTTAATAAAAGAAATTTTAACATATTTTTTGCAAAAAAGCAATAATCTGAAAATTTACTAAACATTGTTATTTCAAAAAATATAAAAGATACAGAGTGATACATTTTACAAAAATAAATATGTAAAAATGATTAAAATGATAAACTAAACAATGAAAACTAAAAAAAATATCTAACAAAGGGAATATGAAACAATGTATAATTTTGAAAGTGTAACACAAACCCCCTTCTTCCCACAGAAATGCGTGGTATGGGCAGTACTATTTACTTTAATTTCAATCTACTTATATAATGTTGCCCTCCTCTAGCAGAATGCTCCCAAGCACTTTATCGCAGTTTTGACTCCCCTTTAACTTCTTTGTGGATAATACAGAATCTTAATTTTAATGACCAAGAGGACCTACTATATCTATAACTGCCAATATATTGCCAATATATCTAATAATTATTATACCTTATTGTTCATGAATTATCGCTAGTCAAATTTCATTAATTACGACAATGACACACTGACCGATCATCAAAAGTCTAACCCCCCCCCCTAAATTTAGTTAGCTAGAGCTTTAGTTAGTGTTTAGCCTATAAAGGAAAAAAAATAAAAAATTCCGAAATTTCTTTATTAATTTAATGATTATTAAGTCAAGTCTCTAACAGCTATCGGTAACTGACTATCTATCTGCTTTAGTCTCAACTTTTTGGTGATTCTCCGTTTTTTTTTGACTGCTTTGAATTGTTTTGATTTTAAAATTGATCATCTCAAGTTAAATTTTCAGTCAACTGCTGTATGGATTGGCTTACGATAATCGCAACGTTGATCCATAACATTGAGAGTAATATAATAATCGTAATATACCGGGTGCGTCTCAAAAGTGGCTCACCCCTATAACTTTTGTATTTTTTCAGTTAAAAAAACGAGATTTGGTATGTTAGTATATCACATAAATTAGGATTGGTTAACGTATTCAATATTGTTTTCGGTCATTTCCTGTTTCACCGGAAATGACTACATCTTTTGATTTTTAAATGACACCCTCGGTATTTTTTTTACTTTATTCGAAAGAAAATGACACTCTGAATAGAATGTCATATCATATGTCAACTTTTGCACATATAAATAATAATTTTTTGTAATAATATAATAATATAATTTCAGTTAGCGTCTCCCGAGACGTCTCCTTTTTGCTGCCAGGGCTAATCTGGACGGGGCCTACTTTGTTTACGCGGAATCCGAACCGCGGTCCTCGGCCATATCATGGTCAATAGCCTATCGACTTGGCAAGTGTCTAAATCGACTCTTACTCACGAGATATCCGATCTCATCCGGCCTCGAACCGGCGTGAATGAGCAGTGTGTGTCCATAGATTTTACACTTTTGCCTTTTTTATACAACAGCACGATACAGAGTTGCGAACCGGTCACCCGTCCATCCACTGGTATCGCCTTACGTCGCTTAACTTCGGTGTTCTAATGGGAACCGATGTTTCGACGTAGCTAGGCCGTTGCCCATTTCCACATATATGGTGTATTTGAAATTATAACTTGCGGTTCGTAACGAAAATTTGACTCGAAATACCAAGTATGTGTGGTATCAAATTATTCGTAAAAAAATGCTTTTTATGTGGCTTATTAGCAAATATGCTAATAAGCCACCCTCGTTCTATTTGAAAAAATTGAGATATAATTAAAAATACGATTTGAGCATTTTCTACCCGGCCAGGACAAGACACTAAAACATTAGACGATCAAATCATGATAAGTCATTCTATTCAGAATGTCATTTTCTATCGAATAAAGTAAAACAATACCGAGGGCGCCATTTACAAATCAAAAGTTGAAGTAATTTCCGGTGAAACCGGAAGTGACTAAAAACAATTGAGTACGTCAATCAATTATAATTTATGTCATGTACTAACATACCAAATCTCGTTTTTTTTATCTGAAGAAATATTAAAGTTATAGGGGTGAGCCACTTTTGAGACGCACCCGGTATATAGTTTTCTATTACAGTTGAGTGTTGGAACCTTTGGTGTTACACAGCAAAATAAAAACACTAAATCACCACAATACACCAAAACACTTTTACTTTTACACTGGACGCGCATTTCGCTAACCATGTTAGCATCATCAGCAGATGATTATAAACTTTTGAGTTTATGATTATAAACTTTTGAGTTTATAATAATCTGCTGATGATGCTAACATGGTTAGCGAAATGCGCGTCCAGTGTAAAAATAAAAGTGTTTTGGTGTATTGTGGTGATTTAGTGTTTTTATTTTGTAGTTTTCTATTTCTAATTTCGAATGCTTTTATTAGTTTGATGTTTGGAAGGCTTAGGCCGGCCGCCATTTGAACGCGTTTTCGTACGAATTTGATTCGTGCGAGCACGTACGAACACGCACGAATGATCCCGACCTCGTACCTAAACGCACGCGTAGTTCCGACATCCGAAAACAATCCGAACCTGTTGGGATTTTTAAACGTTTTCGTGCTTTGAACCGTTGAAAAAAAATCCATTAGGGCAATTTTCGTTTCGTTGTTTTGCTTTCGATCAATTTTTCTTCGGCCATTTATTCTCGGACAATCTTTTGCATACCCGATACAGCTATGTGCAGAGTCTAGCTCATTCTAACAATGGTTTTTGGCAAAAAAACAGACTCAAAATCACACTGTAAAAGAGAGCTGCTGCCATAATAGAAGTTTTATTTTGTCCCAAGCAACCATCAGAAAATAATTAGGTAGAATGGTGTGATTTTCTCTCGCATGCATTTTCATAACTTAAAACAAAAGGACCTATCTAAAATTCCATCTTTCTTGTAGTATAACAATTGGTATAACAATTGATATAACAAAGAGCCCTATCTCAACATACGTCTCTTCATCATAACGAAGAATTGTAGTATTTGAGATGGGGCAAATTTTTAAACGAATATAAAATGAAAAAGGTACAATATTGAGATGCGCAAATTCGCTATGTTAAAATATGACCCATTGGGCATGTCATGACGTTGATATCTCAAAATCGCCAAAAATCGAGATACGCCTTTTCGTCATAAAGCCGACGGTATAACATGGTGAGGATTATAATTGCTCGGTACACTGCAAGTTTCGTTTTTGTAATCAAGTCATGATTGTAGAAAACCCTGTCTTTTAATTTCCAGAATGCTCTTGAGGCGCTGCTAATCCTGTGCTGAATTTCAGAGTCGATATTGGCCTTTTCCGAAATCAAACTGCCGAAGACAAAAAAAATTAAGGGTTGTTGCAAAGCAATTTCATTTCAACTAATTTTTGGTTGGAAAAAGTTGCACCCAGAATTAAAAGACGCATTAATGCGTAACGATATTTATACTCGATTTAAACTAGAAACTACTCTTCTTTATCTGATTCTCTGTGTTCCGTATACATTTCATATTTTTTATAAATATTAATAAACTTTACAGAATTTTCTTCTGGCCACCTACTTGCCGCTATTTTAAAAACACCACTTGAATGGCAAAAGTTAAACCGTTTTCAACTGAGACATGAATCAACTCATTGGGTCAATTGACATGATTTGTCGAGTTTAGACAGTCATATTGCATTCATGCAAATTTAATTCAAGTGATTTGATCACCGCCTTTAAGCCTACAGACGATCCATGTTTACTAATTTTATTATTCCGATTTTTTATATAATTATCAGGTTATATTAGGTGAAACTATTTATTGTCTCTCCATGATTCTATATCGAGGAAGCCATTAGCACACCCTTCATTATTAAAATGTAATCGATACTATCGAACGATTTTGGTGGTATTACACATAACGAACTTCATTAGTATTCCCGCGTTGTACACTATTACAAAAGCTGAGATATATGTTGTATATATAAACCAACACGATATCTAATCTTAGCAATCAGTCTGTACACTGCGCCGAATACTAGTTAATCAAAATGGTTGTTAAGGTGCGTATTTTGATAATTATTTATATACAGTATGTCCCCGGATTGTCTTTACAAGAGGAAAAACTTTTTTATTATTGACATTTTGAGAAAGATGCATTCTTGATAACAATTTTTGCTTGTTCTAAAATGGTTAATCCGGATTATACTTTTTGTTAAAAAAAAACATGGAAATATTGTTGAATTCTAAATCCTAAAAATCAAAAGGCGTTCCTATGGTAATATAATTTAGATTTTACTCTTTGCTAGATGGTTATTATTAATTTTGAATAACGTCATATTTTTTGCTGTTGTTAAAGTATCACATTTTCCAATAACTATTATCACCCTTTCCGTAGCATTGAACTAAATAAATTTTGTGGTTCTTTAACATTTTAAAAAATTTCTTCACTTGTCATGTTTTTTTTTATTTTCTATAAAACGGTATGGAAATTTAGGAAAGTATAAACGGAATTAACCATTTTAGAACAAGCAAAAATTTTCATAAAGAATGCCTCGATCTCAAATATCAATACTAAATAAGTTGTTCCTCTTGTAAAGACAATCCGGGGACATACTGTAGGTTGTGGTATCAATAGAAAATATTATAAAATCTACACTTGGAAGTAAAATATAGTTTGGTTAGTTTTGAGTAAATCAAATTATAATGATATTCTTTGATCAAAAAACTTAATCATAATCTTATCATATTTAATACAATTTTTTTAATATCTATATAAACATTTTTTATACGTCTCTACATACACTTTTTAATTAATTTTAACCTGAAAGGTTATAAATAATTGACATTTAGTTATTAAAAATATTTTACTATATGCATAAAACAAACAGGATTAGCTATACTCGCTTTACAGCAGAGATTTAACTGTATTTTAGTTTATGTTAAAAATTGAGAAGATATAAAAAATTCAAAATATACTGGACGTTGACATTATGAACTATTTGTCCTCGAATTATAAAGTTGATTTTTTAGAGAGTTTTATCCTTTTTATACAGCTTTTTTGACAGAGGGAAATTTAAATTGTTTGTAAAATTGAATAACTCTGTATTTTTGGATTACTGTGTACTGATTCAGTTTAAACTTTAAAGGCATTAAATATCTCAATTATCTATAAATTGTCATTTTTAATTTATAAAGCATATGTATTGGTATCAAACAGTCTGTGTATGCTAATCATGGTAAGGATTTTCTCAAAACGAATCAGTTATAACAGAATTTATTATTTCTTTCTTTTTATTATTTTTTAAATGACTTATTACTCATGACTGATATATGGTTGCAAATACATTTTATATTTTTTTTTAATTTATCTCAATTTTTTAAATAATTATTATACATAGGTTTAAATTTAAAAGAACAAAGTGCAATAATAAAAAAATAACAACTGAGCAATTTTACAACAAACGGAAATATATTTTTTATTACTCATGCGGGGAAAGTAGTATCTTTTCGCTTTCTTTTGGAGTCGAAAAGACGCTAATTGCGCATTTCACAATTATCACACGAGTTTTGAGCAAATTTAATGTCGATTTAAGTGCGACAAGTAAACTTCTCGCACCCAAATTTTCATTGGCACACGCAAATTGACAAGCAAAAAACACAGTCTCGAAGTGTCAATATTAAAGAAGTGAGGTTGACATGTAAATAAATTATTTTGTACTCGCGTTTTAATCACAAAACATCCCCCTTTAGAACTTCGTCTGTCATGTTAAGAAATGAAAGTAAATAATAAAGCGCCTCTCGTGTTTGTTCGCACTCAAAAAATGTCAATTAATGCCTGTATATATTTTTAATATATTTTTTAAATTTACATTTATTTAATTGTAAAGTAATATATTACATTTAAATGGAATATATTACATAACAATTATGTCAATTACATGATTACAAGCTTGTTTTCTAACATTTTTTAAATAAAACGAATTATAAAATTTCAATAAATGTATATTTGTCGTAGGTATGAAAAAAGTAAAATATAAAATGGACAAACGCTTACTTACATTGCAATAAAACTTCCACTTTTAGTTTTGCAATCCAAACGCAATATTTCTGTTTCACAAATAAAAATATCCGACAACACTAAAATCACTGAAACTTCCGCGGCTGACATCGAAAACTGAAAAATATAACGGCACTTTTTGTTTTGGAGCTGCATGTCAACATTACGATGTACTATGTGTTTGTTGTTGAAATAATATAAAATATATATATATCTTGTAAATTTTAATATTTTAACATGATTTTAACTACTTTTGACAATAACTAACTTTTTGTTATCAAGATGACATTTTAGACGGCAACTGACATATATGTCATAATATTTGAATCTTAAATATATATGTAATATAATTCAAATTATTATAATGCAACTTTAAACTAAGAAAACATTTATACGTTCACAAAATACAACAAAGTCTAATAATATAGTTTGAAAACAATGAATATTGAATTAAAATTGAAAAAGCTAAGCGCGACCCCTTGTGTCAAAATTAGATGATTAAATTTTCGCAATTTTTACACCATTTGATGACCGGTGGCGCCTCTTGTGTTTGTTCGGGCGGTTGGGCTTTTACTCCCGCTTATGGCCATTAAAGAAAAAGTTCTAAAGGGGGATGTTTTGTGAAATCATATTCAAATGTATGTTCAAATGTGTCAAATGAATCGTCAAACAGAACTGTCAAGGATCCCCACCCTAGAGTCGTTTTTCCGCCCACAAAGCATGTATACATAAGAATTGCATTATTGGCATTATGTTTTGTGGTTTTAATAAGCTAAAATAAAATTTAAAAGAAAGAAAACATGAGTAATAATCCCGACTGGATTCCGGAAACTGATGAAAGTGATAATGATGAATCTATATCGCCAGAAATTCTTGAAACACCAAATGATGAGTCTATACCGCCTGAAATTCTTAAAGGAGCAAAGGATATAATTAATAATCTGACTATCAACCATCAACAAGATCTAAAAATGTTAAAATCACGTTCTTAAATTGTTCAAACTTAACAATGTATTTAAATGGCAGTAAAACTACTTAAATTGATTACTTATTTCTGTTTAATCGTTCACAATTTTTATTAATTTGTTGTGTTTCATTGTTAAAAATAAATGTATTTAATATGTTTTAACTTTTTCATTATTTTTTTTTGACTAAAATTACTACTCTAATTATCCCTGCATACGTAATAAAAAATAGTATGTGCAACTCAACTTCGCTCTCGTGGGCAATCGACAACTTTGTTTGTTTTTTAGTTGCAGAATATACTATTTTTCATTATTTTATGATATCCAATCGGTTATTTTGACAGATTGAATATATCGATTTTCCTTAACCTAAAATTCAACTTTCAATATACTGAATTCGTAATTTTATCAATGCTTATTCAAGATCATGTTTTTATCAATTTTACATGTGTTTTATTTTTTATCTCGAAAATTATTTCAAATAGTGTAATAGAAATATTATGAGAATTTTTATTAGAAACATATTTTCTCTTTACCGTTTTTCAAATAAGTTCAAAATAATGGAGATATTTTACATTGAAATATTAAAAAAAAATTTTTTAGCTTATATTTTAGGAACAACTGGATCTTTTCTGGATTTTCTTTCTTGTAAATTTAATCTACTACCTACGTTGCCATACTATGAAGATATTATGTTTTTTAGCTAAAAATTTAAAACATTACCAAAAAAATTTTCAAAAAATTTCAAATTTTCAAAAAAAAATTTCACGAGAAAAAAACTCACAGACGAGTTTTCTGGGGTCGAAATATATTGCTCCTGCCTAAAAATATTTGCACTTATTTAAGACTTATTTTCAAAAAAATAATAATTTCCAAAAATGATAATAATATACCGGGTGTTCTATTTCAAATAAATAAGATCCTACAACTTCAAATAAAGTGGAAACATTGTAACGCTGTAAATTATTTAGATATAAAAGGCAGGTACCTTTATCATCGGTTCTCCATAAAGTCACATTTATTCGTGTAATTTTTTAGTCACTTTATTCGATGTTATCAATTACATATATCGAAATTTTGCAGTTTTGTATACTTAAATCATTTTTTTATTTTATTTTTTTAGTTCATTACACTTCTTTGTCTCATATCGGTAGCTCGGGGGGGTATTATACCAGCCCCAGCTCTCCTCTCAGCTCCCCAAGTCCTACTCAGAGCCTCAGACGCCTCCTACGATCCAAACCCCCAATACTCTTTCGCTTACGACGTTCAGGACGCTTTGACAGGTGACAGCAAGAGTCAGATCGAAAGCCGAAACGGCGACATCGTCCAAGGCCAGTACAGCGTTGCCGATCCTGACGGCACCAGAAGAATCGTGGACTATGTGGCAGATCCAGTCAATGGGTTCAATGCTGTGGTCAGGAAAGCACCGCTGGCTTTGGCGGCTCCTGTTATAGGTAGAGCCGTACCAGCTCCGTCTTTTGTAGCGCCGGGACCTGGATTTGTAGCGCCTGGTGCTCCTTTCAATTACGCTGTAGTATAGTTTGTTTTTTAATTCGTGTTTCAAAGGAGTATTGTTGGTACTTAAGATAATACTTTACTACATGATCTGTGATACGTGTTGGTGCTAATGGCAGAGGTTGGACACAACAGAGATTTGAAGAGCAAGTGAATCAGTAATGTACAAAGACGAGTTCGAATAACAATTCAATGACATTATATCGTTCATATTTTAATTAATTCATAATTATATACCGGGTGCGTCTCAAAAGTGGCTCACCCCTATAACTTTTTTATTTTTTTAGATAAAAAAAACGAGAAAACGAGAGAAACGTTTTGGTATGTTAGTTTGGTATATGACATAAATTAGGATTGATTCACGTATTCAGCCGTTTTCGGTCACTTCCTGTTTCACCGGAAACGACTACAACTTTTGAATTTTAAATGGCACCCTCGGTATTTTTTTACTTTATTTAATAGAAAATAACACTTTAAATAGAATGACATATCATATGTCAACATTTGACGTTTTCGCATATGGTTTATTTGAACTTATAACTTGCGGTTCGTAACGAAAATTTGACTCAAAATAAGTGTGTGGTATCAAATTATTCGTAAAAAATGCTTTTTACAAATATGCTAATGAGCCACCCTCGTTCCATTTGAAAAAAAATTGAGATATGATTAAAAATACGATTTGGACATTTTTTAATCGGCCAGGACAAGACACTAAAAACATTAGACGATCAAATCTATTTTCCCAAGGCTCTTTGATAAAGAATTAGTGTTTTTAACATAGCCATGGCACTTTAGATTGAAATTTGTAATACGATTTTTTATTAAGCGAGAATGACAAAAGTTGACATATGATATGTCATTCTATTCAGAATGTCATTTTCTATCGAATAAAGTAAAAAAATACCGGGGTGCTATTTAAAAATCAAAAGTTGTAGTAATTTCCGGTGAAACAGGAAGTGACCAAGAACAATTGAATACGTCAATCAATCCTAATTTATGTCATATACTAACATACCAGATCTCGTTTTTTTATCTGAAAAAATAAAAAAATTATAGGGGTGAGCAACTTTTGAGAGGCACCCGGTATATTGTTGGAATTCCTGATATTAACAGATACAGATTATTTTGAGTTACTAAAACTGTAATATTAATGAAAAAAATAGTTCTAAGTAGTTATATTTTGATTGAGATTTATTTATATTTTCTATTTTAGTTTTAACTCACAATGAACTGTCATTGTCATTATCATGAACTCTGCTAACAGACATAACAAAGCACGAGGTAAATTGATATTTCTGTACACAGTATATGTGACATAAGTTTCATTCGATTATACGGCATTAATATATTAATTAGACTAAGTGCTAGTTAGGCTAAGATGTAATTGCTTACGGCAACGTCCTATTCCGCATTAACTGAAGATGAATTTTGACATTTATAGTGTTAAAATTTTACATTATGCATATTGCAATTAGTAATAATCCTGTAATTTAAATGAATTTTTATGTTTTAAAAAACAACTAGAATCTCGTATTAAAACTATAAAGAAAGAATACAGGATATAATATAAGAGTATGATAAAGAAATATTGATCTTTCTTTGAAAATGTATCTTTAATGTGTTCAACTGACTAATTAACATTCACAACAAATCAAGTTCATAGTTTATTTTATATATTAAATATATATTTTATAGCTTTTAGTATATTAAGTAATATTTTTTTAATTAATTTATAATGAATTATAGTATTTATAAGAAAAATATATGTGTTTTATTTCAATAATTGAAGAACTTAATGTATATTTTACTAATTTGACTTGGTATAGGCAACGCAAAAAAAAGTGATAGATATATTCAGTCTAAGAATCATCATAATCAAAGAAGAAAACATTCGACCAATGTGTACTCTGCGTATAACAGATAACAGTGTGTCGCTAATAGATTTTATAATAATTAATAACGATAATAATTTATTTATTTCGGGCGTTAAAACTGAGCCCGAATGTGTCAGATCATTTGGCGGTTTTTTGTAAATTAGATCTCAAAACGCATCAAGACAAAACTAAATCTGTTAGTAGACGTAATCTGGGTGATATCGATAGGGAACATCCGAATGAATTATTGCAAGTAACACCTTTCATAAACATTACGTACATGGATAATATTGACTCGAAGGTAACTTATCTTAATACATTATTGCTAAATTTATTCGATATATTAGCTCCTGTTAAGGATGTCAAAATTAATAATAGAAGACCACCTTGGTTCACTAATAATATAAAGCACATGATTGAATTCAAAATTTCAAAATCAAATTTCTCATGTCAAAAGACTTACAGACACCAATTTTCATCTAAATATTGACGTTACTTCAGAAATTGTTTGGAAAAAATCCAAATAATTTATACGAACTTGTAAATTTATTATATCTGCAGAATATGCTGCGGAAGTTTCAGCAATACAGTTCGGACAACCCTGTGTAACGCACTAGGAATTATTATAAACCAACAGATAGTTTCGATTCTATAAAATCGATTAAATTAGCTAATTATCGGCTTTTGAATGCATTAAACCATAATATATTCGGCATATTGAACGTAAATTTCTTGTTAAATAAATTCAAGATTAACAAAATATAAAAAAATGTTACTAGAGCTCATATCTTCGTTTTTCTATGCATTAATAATGAATATTCGCGAATTTTTTTCGGTTTGCTTAAGGCGCGATTCTCACTATAACCACAGAATATCTAGCTACGCAACAGAAGCCTTGTTACACGTATAAAATCGTAGGTATCAAAAGGAGACAGACTTTTAAAGCCTTTGTATATTATTAATTTTAAAGGTAATTAAAGTTATTTTCTTAGTTAACATAATAAAGTAATGTATTACATATATTAAAAATGTATTTTGTGAGCATATGTTTTCTAATAATATACTTAAACTTAAAACTATTTTAAAAGCCAAACGAATAATTAATGTAAGTGTATCTGACAAGAAACGAAGAATAGAAAGAAATTATTATATGTATACACCAGAAAAAGTGTATGCATGCCAATTGAAGTCTTTTTGAATCTGGCAACTGTGCACATTTAGCCGAGCTTCAAGGCCGTCGACGTATCGTCGATCTAAAACCGAAAGATGAAAATTTCCTATTATATTCTGATTATGATATTGTCACAGCTTACAGAATAATAAACTTACAGTTTTTACTTAAGCTGTGATATTGTCGCGCCATCTAGTATTTTATTTGTGCAATTTTTGCTCTTTCATTTCGAGTATTTTTCTGTTGCGTAGCTAGATATTCTGTGCTATAACCTATAACGTACCGTCACCATCACGTCGAGCCGCCTACATAAAACATGAAGTAAATGGGAGATTGGACGTCGTTTAAAATTATATTCAATCACAACAATTAATACTTTAGCATGTGTTTGGAACATCCGCAGCAGAGTAAGTTAATTAGTTCAAAAAAGTCCTGTTAATGGCCATCGTTGTTTTTCCACTAACCCCTTTATTTTATTTGAATTTTTGTAAATTATTAGTTTATATCATAATATTGATTTAGTATACCATAACGCACTAGGGGAATTATTAGAAACCAACCCAAAATTTCAAATACAATACAAACTGTTTATCCCGAAATTGCATCGAAACAACAAACTTATGTTATTCCATTGTGCAGTACGTATTTACGCCGTCAATTTACCCAACTATAACATTACATTGTTCGCGTTGTTTTGTTACAGCATCGCGTAAACAACTTACTTATGTCATTTCGAACATAAACTAATAAATAGGTTTCATTTCGGCTGAAGCATGGTTGAAGCGCTTTGATTTGATGTGCGGAATTAGGACAGCGAACGTACAGTTGAAATTTGATCTATGGCATATCAGTCGGTAAATAAATCGTCGAATTATTAAATTGGATAGATAGTTTCGGATTCCATAAAATCCATTAAATTAGCTAATAGCTAATTATCGGCTTTTGAAAGCATTAAACCGTAATATATTCCGGATATTGAAGGTAAAATTCTGGTTAAATGAATTCAAGATTAATAAAATAAAAATTAGGTTAGAGCTGGTATATCTTCGTTTTGCTACGCACTAGTGATATAATGAATATCCGCATTGACGATTTTTTTTTTGGTTTGTATCCCTCTTAATTAAGTAATGTATTTTGGATATTTAGCTGTTGCTTTATCTGAACTACTAGCGTGTACAAGCGACTTCATTCGCGTCGAATTAATTTGTAATGGTGATGATAAAGCAAAGCAAGAATTTCCATTAACATACAAACTGGATAAAATTTTCTCACAATTTTGTCAGCATGAGAAAAAACAATATGGCGATATTATTATATAACTTGGTAATATTTGAGGGGTAGTTTCATCTCGTTGGAATTTGACTTTCGAAAAATCCGTTTGCCAAAAATAAGCTTTTTACGTCAAGCAGTTTAAGCAGAATCGTGGTTAAGAAATTACCCAACTTTTTGGAACACCCATATGATTTTAAAAAATTTCAAAATATGTAAAAAACCCAAGTAAATTATGCTTATCCAAGCATTTTCCCGAAAGACTAACTGTTTTTTAAATAACAAATATTGTAATATCTGAGGGGCTTTTTTTCACCCTTTTGGAATTCGGAGATTTACAAAACCCTCCTTGAATGATCCTCCAAAAACCTCGACACCCTATAGTCAATCCGTTTGCCAAAAATCAGCTTTAAACGTCATCCAGTTTAAGCAGAATCGTGATTACTCAATGGTCATATTTTATGAAATCACCCTGTATTTATTTATAAAAATCTTAAAATATGTCTACAAAGAAAATAAAGCATAAATGTTAACAAAGTTTTTGAAAAACTCACCGGTTTTTAAATAAATTATTTTTAATAGATTTCGGGATAGTTTCATTTTGAATTCAGAGTTCTCGGAAAACGACCACTATCGAACCTCTACACAATTAAAGTCAATTTTTACCAAAAATCAGCTAGCTTGCATTTAAAAAATTCAAGCTATAGGGAAAATTACAACAACTCGTTAATAAATAAACAAATTAAGTATCACGAGAGCGCTTTAAGCAGGATCGTGATTAATCAATGACCAGAATTTTAAGAAACACCCTGTATACATTGGGTAAAAAGGTCAACTGCGACAAATCTGCTATATCCCCTTCCACGTCTTTAAGCGTTTTGTGCAAACTTCTCGGTTTTTTCATAAAAATATTGGCATATTTGAGGGGTGGTTTCACTCTCTTTGTTCTAGTACATTATAAACGCATTGTCTCTTACATCGAAATCTCG